GGGAACTATATCATCAACTGAGGGTTCTTGAGAAGAATCAAGAATTTCCCTACTTTTAGAAGAAGGGGCTTTTGGGATAGAACTCCTTGAAGAAGAACAAGAGGAGTCGCCTCGCGTAGATTCTAACCCTGTTTGAAGCCTACCTCCTCCGCCTCTTCTGTGTCTAATAGGGGCGTTGGGGAATTGATCTAGAATTGGAACTTTTTACGGTTAGGGTTTGAAGAAGACATTGTTAAGAAGGAAGTATGTGCTGAAGAATTGTGAAGAAGACAAAGGAAGACAAAGTTATGTGTAAAATGGGAATCGTCAACTTTAGAAGTGTAATGATGAAAAGCCTATAATAAAGGCAGCTATCACTTCGTAAATAGTGAGAATGAAGAAGTCTCGAAAAAGGGTATGAATAGCGGAATCAATTAGAAAATGACACATGGGCAGAACATTAAATGGAAAAGACTGCTGAGACGTTAATACTGTCATGAGCATTAATTGTGGCAAAAATTCCTTTTACATGAAGATCCACTTCCCAATTATTTAATTGATAAAAAAATGGAAAGTGGGGGGACTATCTGTATTGGGAAAAAACTGAGTTTATATTAAAGATGATGTGGCATGACACGTGGATTAGTTAAATGGTCAAAGCGCAGCAATTGACTAAGAGGCACGGATGGAGACAGCCACGGGAAGAAGAATTTAAATAGGCACGAGACGACGTATAGATACGAGTCTCGTACCAATTTAAATTATTTACAGCCAACGGATTGAAGGCATTGAAAGCAAAGATCTGATGACAGAAAGGAGTCCAAATTCATTATTAAATACTTGATACGTTACAAAATTGGTATTTAATAGGAATGATTGTATAACGGCTTATTTAATGTCATTTATTACTCATGATTATATCATTAAAGCTGAGGCTTCATTCCTTTACCTAGAATTATCTATAAAAGGAAGAAGTATCATCATTTGTAAGGACATTGAATACTATTGAGAATTTATTGAAATACACATCTATTTGTTTTTTTACCATCGTTCTCAAAAGTATTTTATTTTTGTCTCCTGATTATCAGTAACCCGAATTTCTTTTTAGCTTTGACCAAAGACTTAGATTTTTGGTTAAACAAATACCTTTCTTTCATTTTCCTCAGATTCAGAGATTATTTTAATAAGTTTATGTGCTGAGATTTTTTAATGTAGGATTAACATCATTTGTTGATTTCATCATTATAGTCCATAAAATTTTAAAATTCTTGAAATTTGCTAGTGGTCAATTTTTTTTGTGTATTTAAAACTGATCTTTATCTATATTGAAGAGTAGTTTAAATATTAATAATATATTAAAGTAATCCAAACTGATCATTGGCCACTTAAAGTAATATTTTCTTTTGAAAAAAAGATTTTATTGGCTACCTAAGACTTTTCGAGTTCGTTATTAATTAATCCAAAAAAAATTAATTTTGTCATATTACATACATGTCAAAAATCTAAATTCTAGTTGATATGGAAAGGTAAATGAGCAATTTAGGGTTGGGGAATAGGGATTATAGTTAATAGTTTTTTTTTACTTTTTACTTTTTTAAAATATTAAATATTAGTAGTAATTAATTTGAATTTAATTAATTTTTGGCCCACGGGCCGGCCCAGGCCCAGTCTCGGTAAAGCCTCAAGGGCTAGCGGGCTGACTTGAGCCGAGCTTATAAGCCTCAGTTTTAAATGGGCTCAAAAAATCCTAGCTCAATCCTACCCAAATAGAGGGCATTTGCATCTATATCCGCTTTTTGTGTCACATTTTAACTTTTGCCGCTTTGCAAAACAAATTGCAAGCGTACTCGTTTTTTCGCATAACTTCAGCACACGGGGCTGAAGTAGCAAAGGCAATCACACAAAACTTCAGCATTCTAGTAGTCAGGCCTAAAGTTCAGCTTTAGAGCTGAAGTTTTTGTTTTGTAACTAGCGAAGTTTTTGTGTTGTGACAGAGCTGAAGTTTTTGTGTTGTAACTGGGAAACTTCAATGTGTTGTAACGGAGAAACTTCAGCAGCTGAAGTTCTTGCAGAGCCGAAGTTTTCTTAAAAGAGATCCTTTTTTCCCCTTGAATGTATGCTTTCGCTGCAACTATTGTATCCTCTGGTTCAACCATTACGACAAGCACGACCATCTTTAGTTCTGTGATACTTGTAAACGTTTTCGAATTTCTCTTTACATTTCTTGGCACTTCTATGATAACCAAGGTCAGCCAATTTCCTGCACATAACAATGAAAACAATTGGAACAAAACAAAGATACAAATCTAACTAATACCTCATCTTATCTTGTAGAGAATTCATTGTATTCTTAATAAAAACAACATCTCATACTTGTATTTACCACAAAGATTAAAACTGGAAAAAAAAGTTAACTTTTGGACTAAAACTAATAACTGGAAAAAAAAAAAAAAAAAAAGAAGAAGAAAAGAAAAAGAAGGAGGAGAAGGAGGAGGAGAAAGGAGCTGAAGTTGTTTAAAAAGTGGGTACAAGTTGAAAGTTTTAAAAAAAATAGGTATAGGTTAAATGGGGGCGACCAAATAGGGCGCCCCCGTGCAATTTTTACCCCAATAGTGGGCTGAGTTGGGTTGGCCTCACGGATCAAGCCCATTTTGACGACTCTACATAAATATTTATTTATAAAATTAATTTTATTTTATCATTTCAAGCTTATCAACTATATTATTTACAATGACCTAATCCAAACGGGTCCACAGGACTCTAATGCTAGTTCCAAACACTCCAATATGAAACTCCGAAAAAGAAAAGAACGGCGGGACTAATCCATTTGAGTTCCTCCTTTAGACCTAACATTTACATCTGCGGATCTGCCCGACTGGGCCCACGCATAAAAGATCCTTCGTAACAGAGAGTGCAACACTAGTCAAATCTCTCCGACAAAGACAGACCCGAAAGAGAGAGTATTGGTTCAGTTTCTAATGCTTACTATGAAGGGAGCGATCCATGAAAAATCAAATAACAAAATTGGTAGCCAATGGACTGTACAAAGAAGCCATTAACTTGTATTCCCAGCTCCACTCTTCTTCTTTTGTTCCCACCAAATTCACCTTCCCCTGTCTCTTCAATGCCTGCGCCAAACTAAAGGCTATTCCACAAGGCCAAATACTCCATACTCATTTGATGAAATACGGGTTCGGCACCGATGTATACGCAGCCACATCTCTTACTGATATGTACATGAAACTCACCTTAGTGGACAGGGCCTTAAAGGTGTTCGACGAAATTCCTCAACCAAATATTGCTTCAGTAAACGCTATCATTTCTGGGTTTTCCCAAAACGGGTATCATTTTGAAGCTTTTCGGCTGTTTGGGAGGTTATTTAGTAGTTTACAGTTTAAGCCGGATTCTGTTACTATAGCTAGTATTTTATCAGGGTGTGTGAATAGTAATCATGGCGTTCAAATGCATTGCTGGGCTATAAAGATTGGTGTGGAAATGGACATATATGCAGCTACTTCGCTTTTGACTATGTATTTGAATTGTGCTGATTGTGTTTCTGCTACGAGGTTGTTTGAATTGGTTCAAAATAAGAATGTGGTGTGCTACAACGCTTTTATTTCTGGGCTGTTGCAAAATGGGGTGGATGAAGTGGTCCTGAGTGTGTTTAAGGAGATGAAAAAGTCACTAGACGAAGAACCGAATGCAGTGACTTTAATATCTGTTCTTTCTGCTACTGCTAATCTTAAGAATGTGAAGTTTGGTAGGCAAGTCCATGCGTTTATTGTGAAAGTCGAGTTGCAATCTCATACAATGGTTGGAACTGCACTTGTAGACATGTATTCGAAATGCGGTTTTGGGTTATGTGCATATGAAATGTTCAAAGAGATGGGTCGCAACCGGAACTTGATAACGTGGAATTCGATGATTACAGGAATGATGTTGAATGAGCAAACAGAGAAAGCTGTTGAGCTTTTCGTTGAATTAGAATCGGAAGAATTGAAACCAGATTCAGCTACATGGAATTCAATGATCATTGGGTTTTCTCTGCTGCAAAAAGAGGCTGAAGCTTTTATGTTCTTCAGAAAAATGCTTTCTGCCGGTGTCGTTCCCAGTATGAAATCTATTACTAGTCTTCTGACGGCATGCTCGTCTCTATCCTCACTCCGTTGTGGCCAGGAGATTCACGGATATATTCTTAGGGCAGGAAACGTCATTGATGAATTTGTTGTCACCGCAATCATTGATATGTACATGAAATGTGGGCAATTTTCTTTGGCACGGAAGGTTTTTGATAAGTTGGACGTAAAGTATGATGATCCAGCTGTGTGGAATGTGATGATTTCAGGATATGGAAGGAATGGAGAAGGTGAAGCTGCTTTTGAAATGTTCTCTCTGATGCTAAAGGAGAAAGCACAACCAAATTCAGCTACTCTGAATTGTATTTTGTCTGTGTGCAGCCACGTTGGTAAACTAGAGAAAGCATGGCAAGTTTTTAACTTGATGATCACAGATTTTGGCTTAACCCCAACTCTAAAGCAACTTAATATTATGGTTGATCTACTTGCTCGATCTGGTCAGCTGGATGAAGCTGGAGATCTATTACAGCTCATTCCCAAACCTTCAGCATCTGTTTTTGCTTCTTTATTAGCAGCTTCTGAGCACTACTCTAATGCCAAGATGGGAGAAGAAATGACCAAAAAGCTCTCAGAATTGGAGCCAGAAAACCCTGTTCCCTTTGTAATTTTATCCAACCTTTATGCTAGACAAGGAAGATGGGACGATGCTGAACGAATCAGAGAAACAATCAATGAAAGGGGACTCGAAAAATTACCAGGCTACAGTGCTGTAGGAGTGACATAAAAAGGAACATCTTCTACATGTTAAAACTGGTCAAACAGACTACTGTTGGATCTTATGCCTGATGTGCATGACCTGGCTCTCGCTCTTATTTTTGACTTGCATCACCTCTCCAACATTCCTTGTTCAAGAAAATCCAAAATCGAAGGCCAAAGAAGTTGGTGGTTCAAAGATGAAGCAAGAGATGAGATCACTAAGTGCAATCACACAAATACTTGAATAACCTTGCCACTTGTCACAGATCCTGTGAACTGACTTGGAAATAAGGCAGTACGAAGAGTTGGGTCAAGCTACTGTGTTTTTGGTGTGACGACCTTCATGGCACCATGTGTTGCCGAAGCAATTGTTTGTGAAGTCCTTTCCCAGTCAGCTTCCTTCAATTAGAATGGGCAAATAGCAATACAAAAAGTAACAGGAAACATCTATAAGCTTATACGATAAAGGTCAAATCATTGTGACGTTGAGTATTAGTTTGAATGTGATTTACTGTGGTCAGTATTTTCTGACTTTTTTTGTCAAGATTAACCACCCGAGTTGTCTCTTAACTGCAAGTGTAGTGTTTAGCTCATCCGTGAGAAAGCCTCTCTTGTAATTGCAACTCCACTGATTCTGGAAAGTGTCGAATTGCCTGGATATTATTGAATCAGTCTGTCACTTTGGACACCAATAACCTGGTGCAGAGGTGGAAAACCTTGAAATTGGCTATCAGTAGCTAAGAATAGCTGACCCCCTTGAGGGACAGGAAAGGTGGCCAAGCTAGATGTGGGATAAGCAGAAATGCAGTCAAAACCAAATCCCTTTGCATTCTTCAAGAACTGGCTTTATGCCCAATTTTAGCTGTGAAGTTCTTAAGGAATGGTATACTGTTCTGATCACAGGTGCTTTGCAGACAATATTTTGATTGCACTAGAAAGCCACTCAACATGGAAGCATCCGCGCTGCTGGAATGAAAGGTGACCAGTCGTAGTAGCTTATGATGGACCTCACGTTATGTAGGTTATCATGTGTCTCAAGAGGATGACATATGACTAAGTTCATCTTAAATTCTCTCCTAAAATTGTAGACTTTTGATGTACTCAAACTAGTCATTAATGTTCATTCTTGAGAGGTTTGTAGGCAAACTGAAGCTCCAAACAGTTAGACGTAAACGCCATTAGTAGCGGAATCTCTATTGATATGCCAAACTGCTGGAATTTTTCTTCTTCCTTTTTTTTTTCAGTGTCAAACCGCTGGAATTAAATTGTATAAGCACAAAGATATGCTTTTGTAGGCCAGCTTACTGTCGTTTGCTTACAGGGTTCTTGCACTATACCCTTGTAGATGTCCTTGCCAACTTTATGAGCTGCAATCATAGCATTCTCCTTAACCATTCAGTTATCAGTAGCCACACACCTGACATAGCTACAGCGAGACTTCTTGTATCCAAGTGCCACTGCTCCTACTGAAATGTTTGAAATCGAAGTTGAAACATTCACCTCAAATTCTGAAAGAGTTATTGAAAATGTTTAGTGGTTCAAAGATGAAGCAAGAGATGAGATCTGTGAGGGCAATCGCACAAATGACTTATCTTCGACACAAAGAGTTGGACTAAGCTTGCATTTTTTTTTTAATACTGTAGTGTTCGGGCCAGCTTGTGTGTACTTCGACTACCACACCGGGTACCTGCTATCTCTAATTAGCACAGGTTCCATGAAGATTATCCATGGTGATCCTATGCTTCATGCGCAAAGAGTTGCTACTATCAAGCTCCCATGCCGCTAGCCAGGCCTGCTCAGTCTCCTGAACGGTTGATCATTAGGGTTTAAATGGAGAAAAGGGAGGGGGCGGGGTTGTTACATTTGAATGTTGGGACGATCAAAATTGTGTAATATGTAGTTCTAAATTGTCATGTCAACTAAATTGGAATTGAGACGCAGTTGATTGATTAGGATGCAAAACATGTTGGAAAGAAAATATCTCCTATAATTGGATCGACATCTACTGCATCAAGCTGCCAGTCAGTTGAGTTGCAATCCCGCCATGACTTCCCCTGAATGCTTCAACAATGTCTAGGTCCTACTTTTGGGTCATCTCCATTTTTGCCAATACATAAGTCCTTTGACCTACACCGTATATCAAGATATCAAGCCACAAAGTAAACATCTCAGAAATTCAAAAGAATGAGGAAGCTCAACATTTCTTGGAATTATAAGCTCAACATCATCTACTACTTTTGACTTGAACTATATTTAATTTTGAAACATATGTGTATATATAAGTATGCACATGTTATCATAAATGACCAATGAAAACGGTCAGTGGCAAAGACACGTAATTACAAGGGGTGTCATTGGACTCTAGTTTGCCTGAAAAATTTACTAAATATATTTCAACAACCCACTGTGATAATAGACCAACACCGCGTGAACAAAATCCTAAATTCACTACTGACTCACTAACTAACTCAAAAAAAAAAAAACTCAAAATGTTGAATACTGTTAGAGCAAGATAATGTTGGCAAGCAATCCATGCTACAAATTTTCTTATGACAATAAATAACAAGGTTGATCTGATCTTGGAAACCAAGTTCACATACCTGTTTGGTGTGGTGGTGGCAAATTTTGGAAATCAAGGTTTGGACCTTGTTATTTAACAATTCTACCATCTGGGACCAGTGTAAGGCACTCTACCCTCAATATCAAAAGCGTGGGCTTCAGAGCCTATTGTTGGAAGTTGAAGCTTTTTGAAGGAATAAAGCATATGGGCGTGAATGAGTTGTTTGTCTATCGGAAACAGACCCTTTCAGGTATGGGTAAGGCTGTAGTAGAAATTTACTGGGCTTATTGTTGTTGTTGTTGTTATTGCGCGTGAATAAGTTGCTGAAGGCAGCAATACAATTCTATGAGAATTGAGAGCATAGTCATCACTTGTGTAACTAGCTTTAACCTAGTGTAAAAAATAGTCTCTTTGCTTATAAGAAAGATTTATATTTTTCATTTTTTGGATTAGCATGTAGTTTGGTCAAAACATGGCAAGTTCTTGTTGGTGGAAGTGCGAAATATCTTTCCACAGTCAGCCTCATACTTAATTGCCAATCGATAGTATCCTTTTTCATATTCGATGTGGACACTCATGCATCAACACTAGCAAAGTTTTCAAAAATCAAATCAAAATGTTTTACAAAACCAAAAAACGAGCGGTACCAAAAGCTCTCAAATTTTGGTTAAACTAATCCAAATACAACCCTACTTTCTTTATTATACGGGGGAATTTTTTCTCTTGGTCCGCTAACTCCATAAAGGGCTGGTGGGTGGGGGTAGAGCCTCTAGCACCAATGTCGAATCCCCAGCTGGCCATCAGGGATCAAGTAGTAAGGCCATGATCAATAAGGGAACAGTCATGGATAATGAAATTACAAGATTCTTCTGAATGAGATAAGAGAATCTTATTTATTGTCTTTCGTTTTGTTAATTGAAGAAATAATTAGAAAATAAAAAAGCAATGAGCCAACGCAAAAAAGCTCAAGTGATTTTTCCTTGACAACTGTTAAGTCAAGGAAGATAACTGCATAACCTAGAGAATACAACTCCATAAGAATGAGAAAGTACGTGGATAGAAAGAATCACACGATTCCCTTATCGTGATAGAAGCAACAATAGGATAGGAATGCACTAAACTCTCCTCTGACTAGATGAGTTGCGCCTAAGACTCTAAAACGAAGGGAGGTGGTCCCAAGCGTTGCCTATATGGCTATATAGCATCGGCATCGTTTGCAACTGAGGTAGTGCTAGCTATGCTTGACTAATAGGATGAGTCATACGATTGACCTGACATTTTATTTCTCTTCTTAGTTTCTGATGTAAGGCGATTAGTGCTTCCTCCTTCTTGTGAGCACGTGATTTTTGCCCTATATGAATTACTCCCATAAATTCAAAACAAAATAATTTCTTTCAGTGTTTGCAATTTTGTGGATTTTCGTGGCATTATATGTTAATTGTTTGCATTTTGTTTGTGCATTTTAATTAGTGAAAAATACAAAAAAAAAATATATGTTGCATTTGCATTTAGGATTTAAGTTTACATTTTAGGATTAATTAACAAATTAATTGTTTTATAAAAATGGAAAAAATCACAAAAAATAGTTTATTTTGCACTTTTTAATTTTAATCTCGAATTTTGGTAATTTTTCCTTGAATTTGGTTTTTAATTAGTTGTGGTAATTATGTAGAGTTAGTTAATTTAATTTGACAGGATAATTTGGTTTGGGATTTAATTTAGGTTTTATTTTTAATTTTTAATTTTGAAAAAAAGA